ATGTGTTGGAATTAGGGTTACGATTATGCATAAGGTTCGAGTTAGTAGTAGGGCACTGTGGTTAGAAATGTTATGCCGATTATATAGATCAAGTGGAATTATTTTAGCATACATGCATCGACTTTATACCAGCTAATACGAGGGCTATATCACTTAGCCTAATTTATGTTTTAATCCAATAGGTAATCTACTAGATAATTAAGATCTATGCGTTACTTTGTAGGCTAATACGTGAACTACTATGAGTTTAGAGGCTATAACTGTCCTGCTAGCTTCTAATTACGTTACAAATTAATGTGCGGCGCATTTAAAAATCGCATCTATCTTTGTCGTTAAAATCTTCAATAACGCGCATGCTCACGGCTCGCAGATGTTCTTAAACAATACACCTACCTGAATGCGTTTTCCTTTACACCAACTACACGCGCTCGACAAACATAGTTAGCTATTAACCGGATATGTGAAAGTAAAAACCCTATACTGCCCGGGGGTTATGTATAGGAATCGAAGCGGTTCTGTTTACTAATGGATTTGGTAATTTTCTATACATTATAGGAGGCAATTAATGATGCTAGTGAAAGTAAAAACCCTGCCCGGGGGTTATTTCTAGGAATCGAAGCGGTTCTGTTTACTAATGGATTTGGTAATTTTCTATACACTATAGGAGGCTCAATGATGCTACTCACCCAGTATCAAGAGCTAATAATACATTATAGGTATTATTCGCTCTTGTCAGTATCTATGAAGCATCCGGCATTTTAATATTGCCGCGAAGACGCGAGAAAAACGTCGCTAGGTTCTTCACTGGAATGAATATAGCTCGAAAATATGGACAAAATACAGGATATTCGCGTAATATACGGGTAAATCGTAGAACATTTTGCGGAGACTGTATATAAGATTTAAAAAAATATAAAGTAAACGCTAATAGGCTTATACTGAGTACAAAACTAGAAAACTATCGTCAAAAAAGAAGAAATCGCGAACACTGGGGTACTATAGAACGCATGAGAAAAATCACGAAGGATCGTAGCAGATCTTCACAATCCCTTTAAATGTCCCCGCACGACGGCAGCGATGCAGGGTACGATCATTAGCTGCATCCGCGGTCCGTATTTGGGTTACGAGAATGCCGCAGCCCTGGCGGCGTGTCCCGCATCGTCGGGCTACTTTCATTACTGTGATAGCACGATAGTTAATTGAGGTTAGCACGAGGCAGCAGCAGCAGCAGATAGGGCGGTACCGCTTGGCACAGCCAGCCTCCGCATCCTATATAATATATCGATCGGCGTTGCTAATTAAGCTATTGTTCTCAGGACGTCTGCGTCTCCTGGCGCCCCTTCCCCTCGACTGATCGCTCCAGATGCAAACTAGAATTGATAAGCGGTATGCGGGTGAGAGCTCTCTTTTCGTTTCTATATGGAGCTGCCTTATCATGAAGTGAAAGTGAGGAGACACGAATTTCCCTTTCTCGGATTCGTCTCCCTTTCTTTCCCGTTCGCTATCTTCCCCTCTCCGTCTCCCCCCGCTCCCTCCTCTCTCTCTCTCTCCCTCTCCGTGTCTCTCTTTCGCTCTCGGTATCTTTACCCCGTCTCTATCACTGTTTCTATCTCTCGCTATCGCCCCTCGCTTCTATATCCGTGTCTTCCATGACAAATTTACCGTTTCTATCGCAAATACTAATATCAATGGTATATAAGTAATTGACGGCGGTAAAAATTAACATCAAACTAATTCTTTACCTCATTCAACGACTACGTGTCACTGCGCTATTTGTTATGGGAACAGGCATCGTGGCAGGGTACGAGTTGTTGCCATTCTTCTATGCTGTCTCTTGCTTTGAGACCGCGTTTCCACGGCCGATTATTTTCTCAGTATTCTTAGCGGTAGCTTTCGCCCGATGTTGATGACTTTCGATCGATAACCAATGTTCCCGTGTTCCCGTACTGTCGTTTATCTAAAAAAAAAACGTGTTTTCCGCCTGGCGATCATCGTAACCGTTAATTGCGCAGTGGCATTAGAATGCTTGGCTTCAACCATATATCTATTGGGTGATTCGCGACAGTTTTGCGCTAATCATTTTCTATTTGCGGGCCGTCGGTAGCAGAAAATGCGGTCGAATCACGATCACATGTGCACAGCGAGCTGTTGTTTACGCTTTCTCACTTCCTCTTATGAGTTATTCTTGACGGGAGCTATCGCATAAATGAGGTAAATACAGCGGTATAAGAGAAGCCCCATCTGGCCCCATTCATACGCTCTGCGTGATTACGCTCATTGTAGGAGCTCAGCACGCTTACAAGGTGACCCTAAGTACTTCTGGACTGTCACGTTAGCCCCCGCCTAGTGTTTGCAGGCAATCGAAATGTCAATGTCGGATTACTTTCTCGTTTCGGCTGATGGTTCAGCTGCTCGGTGACATAAAAATCGAAAGCGTGCGCGCATAATACGGCCGTTGCCGAAAGAGATTGCCAACGATGGCCTGCATTCGTATTCAGGTTTTACCGGGTGGTCTTGCGTATTCACATTTGCCCTTTTAATTAAAATGCCTACCTGGCATGCAGCGCCAGGCTTGCGCACTTTGGTGCATCTTCGTGGTGATGTTTCTGAAATGTATGCGCATCTCGCAAACGATTATATATCCGACCTGGTCAAATATCGCACGCGAAGGCCATCTCTTGAAATCTGAGGACATTACCACCCGCGAGCGCGGCAGTACCCGTGTTTAACGTTCGATTTCGTGTTAAAGCCGCACTATGCGCATCCAAACGCTAATTTCTCCAGTACTAGACTAGCAAATACTTCATGTCATGCATAATAACACTACCTTATGGCAAAATAAACTCTAGTTCCTCTCATTTCACTGCGCGTTGTCTTATAAAAGGCATTTGAAAATACCTCCAATGTTGTTCAAATTCTCCGATGTTGTTGACACTTTCGTGTTGCTCTGCCAAGGAACCGTGGAGCGGTGCTGCGGTACAGCGGTAGGTACGGGTGTAGCAAAGATAAAAACATGGGACGTCACCTAACCGATTCTTGGCGAAATTGTTTGGCAAACAATTTAGCGTTGGCGCCAGATTACCAGATTTCGCACCTCTTTCTTGTGGGTTTTAAGCAAACGCGCACTGAAATTGGAGGAACTAGAGTTTATTTTGCCATAAGGTAGTGTGATTATGCATGACACGAAGTATTTTCTAGTCTAGTACTGGAGAAATTAGCGTTTGGATGCGCATAGTGCGGCTTTAAGGTTAAATTAACTACGTCACGAATTTTCTATGGTGTATATTTGGAAAAAAAATTGCCATTTTTTTACATGAAAACTATGTACTAACGGCAATAAATGTATCGTCAAATTCTTACCTGATAAGATTGTTTCTCAACTAGTTAAAAATCCAAAAAACGTGGACGATTTGATATTATGATCCTGACATTAATTGCTTGCTATGGGCTATGTATGAGTCACGAGTGTATGTTTACATTGAACAATATAGTAAACTAGGAAGTATAATGCAGTAATTTATCCATAAAAAATTAACAGAATTACTTACATTTTGTGGAAAAGTGGAAATATTTTTTTAACTTTTACTATTAACGGTGACGTAATCACTATAAGCAATACACATTCGATGCAGGAGTCAGAGCGCAGACTCAAAGCTGAGGTATCATGGTAAGCAAATGCATAGTGCCGTTGCCAGACAAGGCTGCAAATGTGAGTGTTGTGTAGATGTCGGTGTATAGGTGTAGGGATATGTGTATGTTTAGGTGTAGGTGTATGTGTAGATGTGTGTGTGTGTGTATAGGTGTAGGGGTAGGTGTGGGTGTAAGTGTAGATGTAGGTGTGTAGGTGTAGGTGTGTAGGTGTAAGTATAGGTAGGTGTAGCTGCAGGTGTAGGTGTGTATGTATAGATGTATAGTTGTGTAGATGTATGTGTGCCTGTAAGTGTAAGAGTAGGTATAGGTGTATGTGTATATGTCCGTGTAGGTTTGGGTGTATGTGTAGATGAATGGATGTAATTGTATGTGTATGTGTCCGTGTGTATGTAAAGCTGCAGGTATATGTGTGCAGGGTTAGGCGTAGGTGTATATGTAGGGTTGTAGGTGTATGTGTCTGTGTATATGTGAGTGTACCGGCGTATCTGTATAAGTGTAGGCGTAGATGTGAAGGTATATAGGTATAGGTGTTGTGGAGCGGCTCTCAGTGCTCGTGTGCCTTTTATTAAAATTACTAGTATAGGTCACGCACTAGGTAGGAAGTGTATATCATAAATTAGTGTTAGTCGCGAGTTTCTTGTGTAATTAGTTGGTCGTTCACGTAACCTCTTTGTCGTCCAGAGTCCAAGTCCAAGTCCAAGTCCAAGTCCGTGCAGAGCCCGTATCCTGCATATTTGCTAAGATAGTACGAGAATAAGACTCATAGGTAATTCGACGTTATTGTCCAAATAAAAACGTCAGGTGTATATGCCAGACAGGTAACAATTTATCCGAAATAGAAAATATGCGAATGAATCTATGGAATAAGAGTAAAGTTCACAATGAAACATAATAAGCGTTCAAATCAGTATAAATTTTTCATTTGTTACGTCAATCAGCAGACACCTAGTTTTTACTTTGCACATATAAACTAGCGTGACCTGGACGCTGAAATACGCGTATGTGTTCACTCGCATGTTCACATGAGATAGGCGGAGAATAGCTTGTGTATTTTGTGTGTAAAACTAAACAAATCAACAAAATATATATCTTATCTGGAAACAGCGCTGGTCAGTTCCCAAAATATGAGTGAAGTACTTGGAAACTAATCCATATATCGCCTGTCGGTTCCGCCCCAATGGTAAGACCCGGTATGATGCCAACCTCCCCGAGTAAACTACCAAACCCGATCCCAGACGCCTGTTTAATGCCGTTCTGACGGACATATATGGTACATCTGCCGCTTCATATTTTCCCGAGCAATGAGGTAGCCCGAGGCCATATCCCACAATGCACTGCGGAATGGCAAG